GATGTTTAAGTTTTGGCTCGATTGCTGGTAACCAGCCGTTCTTAGAGTTCCGGGCCAAAGTTGTGGGAAGGGAAGGGACGACGAAGTTGAGACATTTCGTGCCAAAAACCGCACATTTGAATTCCTTTCTTTAGCAAAGGCAGAAGCTCTGGTGGTAAGCTTCTTTACAGAATTCTCTTCGCTGCTCACTTAAAACAGTGGCGCTGTGCTCAACTGCAGCTGCTGTTTTAGGGCCTGAGAGGAGAGGAAGGAATTATCACTTGATCACAGACAAGCAACAGTACACAGCACTGTGTGTCAGGAGCCGGTTGACGCAGCTGGAGCTAAAGACTAAGTAAGCCTTATCATGTCAGCGGTGGGTGCAATATTTTCACACTGGAGAATCTCCCACAGTAAGGACTGCTTGACAATGTAAGTGTGCAGATTAAAATCTCAGTACGGGTGCACGAGTGGTACTCATTTTAACACAAGTTAAATTATAAGTTGGCTGGTTCGGACTACTGGTTTATTTATACTGTACGCTTCAATTTAATATTTGTGGCTGCACTTTAATTTAATAACTATATATATTCTTAGATTGTATTTATTTAAGTTAGCAGGTTGCATTATGTTTTTGCTATACTGTCTTATTTTAAACATAAATGCGCCTTGAATTTGCTGAATTTATTCATGTTTTACAAAGGGTTAACCTGAGCAGGCCTTACCACAATGATAATCATATTACATCATGCAGCGTAGTATGATATTTTTTATAACATACTGGTATCAGATCCGGTAACTAGTTTACTCGGCACAATACACCCACAGTATCCGGAATCGGTATCGGGAGGAAAAAATGGTTATCGAATCATCTTATACCCTTCTTATCATTCCCATCCTAATGATAACTACTTTAAACCTGAATTATGGTTGATGATTACATTGTAATCTTCTATCATGTCTCTAAACCCCAATTTGTTTTTTTGGGTTTTTATTATTTAGTTTGTTGGATCTAACTATCCTTCGTAACATGTAGTTATCTATGTAATGGTTGTCCTTGTGTTGCAGGCTGGTCAGGCTGTCTGATCACAGAGGAAGGGTTGCCATCTCCCAACTACGGTTCGGAGAGAGAGAGGTTAAGAAGGCAACACTGGGGGCTTGCCCGGGATACAAAGTTTGCCCAAGAAAGAGGAGAAAAGGTAAGAAGAAATAAGAAAAATAAAGAGAGAGAGCCGCGAACGCAGGAAAAAATGGCGGCACACGCTAATGTTGCTGTTGAGAGACACGGGAAGCTAATTAGCCCAAACGTTAGCACCAATCCGTTTTTAGCGGACATAAGAGAGACTGTTCGAGCTGATATGGACTCAATTGATTCAACGGGTGGCAGATGTGTCGGCGGCGGGGAGAGCCGAAACACATTTCTGGTTAGAATGGAGCTAACCACCGGAGCAACGGAGCTAGCCACAGTTGGAGCGGCGGCCCGCCCAAGGACAGTGCTGCTCAGCAGGGCATGGCCACCGACCTCACCGCCTTTAGCACTGACTAATCCTTTCTGGACACCGGCAAAGCAGTAGAGTGCAGCGGGCAGTGAGTCTATGTTTCCCCCTCAATATTGCTATGATGGCCCCAGAAATATAGTTTCTACCCCAGCTGTAGCCTTATGTTATGGCGCGAACAATGACTTTAATCAGACTTTTGACGGCCGGCCAGCTAACCCCTTTTCCCCTGCGAACAATGTGTATGCCACGTTAAATGCCCCATCCACTCTGGCCCATACACAAGCTCTCCAGCCTGCTGTCTCCCCCTTCAAGCCATGTCCCAGTCTGTGAGACGCAGTTATGCAGAACGGGCTCATGATTATTACTCTGCCCCTCACTGTGATGCATCACTCCCCTGGAGCAGAGAGCCTGACTCTGGTGGATATGGAGAAGGGCAGAGTCCGCACCACAACGTCCCTCTTCCTGCATGGTGCGTGGACAGTAGCGATGGTGAACAGTATGAGCAGAGAGAGAGAATCCCCATTTTACTGGTACACGGACTGGAAATGTGTGCTCTACTAGACTCCGCTGCTCAGAGAAATGTGCTGCCTCTCCACCACTTTGACTCTATTCCTGTCGAGTCCAGACCTCAGATCCAGCCATCCACAGCGGAGGTCTTGCAGGGCATCGGACCCAAGGGCTTGACAGTCATGGGTGAAGTCACTCTGCCAGTGCACGCGGGGAGCAGGATTACCAATGTGAACTTCATCATAGCCGACACAGCTGAGGGCACCGAGGTTATCCTAGGGCACCCTTTTCTGCGGCAGGCACGTGCCCACCTGGACTATGGCCGCAGAGAGATAACCATCTTCGGCGAAAAGGTTCCCCGTTTCAACCCAAACCACCAGCCCGAGGTGCATATTGTCAGAGTGGCCCGCACAACCGTGTTGGCGTCGGGCTGTGAATATGTAGTGCCTGGCACTGCCCGCCTCCGCCATGCTGCTGATGGAGGCCCCACCAAAGGCTTCATCGAAAAGCACCATGTGTTAGTGGCCCGCATCGTTGTTCAGACGCAGCAATCTACCAACATCCCCATCAGAGTCTTCAACCCTGTCACTGCACCTGTCACCTTAAGGAAAGGGGCCATGGCCGGGCTCCTTCAGCCAGCGAAGGTTATGCGAGAGGTAGAGCTCCAGCCAAGGGAGGCCTCAGCCATGGGAGACGTGCTTGGTGTATCTTGATGATAATATAGTTCTGGGGCGG